CTAGTAGGTTTCCTAAATATGTATCTTCGTAACTTTATTCTTGCTTCAGTTGATAGAACATTGATAGCAAATCAATATAAAATATATTAATCACATTAAATAATTACTTCAAACATCCTTTCGTTTTGCCTAGCAGTAAAATAACCTTTAAGTATTGTTTCGTGACTACCAGTAAATCAGTAGTATGAGATGTTTTCACCCAATTTCCTTTGAGGTGATGAAGGATTGGTAGAAGAATTTTCCCACAATCATATAAGTAGAGCTGAGTTTTCCATTCAATTTCATACAGCCTTGCTTTCCCAAAAGTTTTCCCCATCCAGACACCAGTGGACGGCAGTTTCGACTTCGCATATGTCCAATCAACACCCCCAGCTGGATTCGAACCGTGACAGTTCAGATTGGAAGCTTGACGCGCTAACCAATTGACCACATTGCTATGAGTGCCCTTGGGTCACAGGGCAAATGTAAAGTTCAAGGAAGGTCAGGTTTTTTGTCATATTATATTCTCCGGTGGGATTGTCGATGAAGCAAACTTGTATTTGCTATTTGTTTGCATTTAAGTATTGTTTCGAGACTGCCAGTAAATCAGTAGTATGAGATGTATTCACCCAATTTTGTTTAAGGTGATGAATGTGGCTATGTGAAATTCAATGGAAACGTCAGCTCAACTCATATCATTGTGGGAAAATCCTTCTTATACCATTCTTTCATCACCTTAAAGGAAATTGGGTGAATACATCTCATCGTAAAATAGACGTCCATACACTCAGCTCATGACAGAAAATAATGAATGCTTTTTTTTGCACAATACCAAAATTAAAATGGCTACAGATGAGGCCAATATCAGAATATCTTTCAATCAACTTTTATTTCTAAATGAATTGTCTAAGCAAAATGAAATATGCCCTTGGCAGATTAACCAGTTATTGGACCATAACTTGCATTTCTCGATCGAGATCTGATCGCAAGCCTGTCAGAGCTATGAAAGATCAGACCAAGATAACCCTCTCTCTCTCTGTCTCCCTTTTTTCGCTTTCGTTCTCTCTTGCTCCAGTCCACGGAGCACTTTAAGGGCAGATGAGTTCTTGAGCTTACTTCCATTTCGAGTAGAAGTGTTGGGTGAAGGGATTCGAAGGTCGGTTCCACCAAAAGACGACCAGCGACGGATTTCTCTTGACCAGCTGTCGATTGGCTTTACTGGAAGATTCATGCTGACACTGTTTCCGAGGCAATCACCTTCGATTCCGGTTGAAAGGTTCTAATCTTTCGTCCGTCATACGACGGACATCATCAGACCGAGATAACATCGTCACAACAAAATTCAAGCTAACGAGTCAAGAAAACTCCATCGTCTTCTGGTGGAACCAAGTTTCGAATCTCTTCACCCAACACTTCCACTCGAAATGGAAGTTAGCTTAACAATTATGAAAGAAGACAATCCTCGAAACCCAACTTTTCTTCGTACAGATGAGTTCTGCCACTTCTTTAAGCACAGCCTCGCAATCGAGTGTGGAAATATTTATTTTCTGAACCCGGCTTCGAACCATAGTGACACAGCTCGGAAATAAGGCAGAACATAATCACTTGGTTATTCTCATAACTTTCAACCGAGTTAGGAAGAGTGTTTATTATCTGTTAAAGCCGCACAGCCTCCTTTCGGCAGGTCACTCGTCGGAGTGTGGTTGAACTTTGCCCATCTCAGGCCGGTTGGACCGTCATAGCCGCTTCTATTCACCCAATGACGTCACTTTTGCCCGACTGCCCGACAGTTCACGGTACCAGAGCCTCAGACTTGCCGCCTCTTCCCTCAGACTGCCTTGAAAACCGGTGCAATTCCGTGAAATCCTTGTTTAAAGAGAATAAAGAAGTGTCGTTCCGCCGAGTCACTATGCCTTGCCTCGAAGTTGTCTGCAGCTGGCATGTGCTGCATGCGCCTGGATAGTATTTGATGCAGTTTGCCTACTTCTTGTTGCCTGAGTGAGGCAGCAATTCGCTCTGATTTCCTGCGAATTAAGCAGGACATGAAAATGTGTACAATATTTTAATTTTCTCCATTTTACAATTTGCCCAATTCGTTGGTATTGGCCAAACGTTGCAATTATTTTAATCATAAAAGTCTACACAAACTATATCACAAATTATGCTAAATCTTTGGGATTTTACAAATCAGAAACGAATGTGTTCCATCTTAACTCATTACATACATGCACACAGAAAATGTAAAGTTAAATTATTTTATGTATGAAATCAGAGTGAACTGCATTGTGATATTTATTTGATATGCCAAAATGGGACAAATTCAAGCTCAGATTTGGTTGCTACAAGAATTCCGCCGAAATGAATGAACGTGAATTCAAATTGAGATAAATGAGAGATTTTGCGGATTCCCTCGAAAACTGCACCTACAAAATACCAGATAAAATTGTCTATGAGAGTTAAAGAAAATAATCTACCTACTCACACTAAGGCATATATACAGGAGTACTTAGAAAGATATCAAAACATGCATTATGTTATTAAACATTGCGTCTAATCTTGTAGAGCTAGTTTGTCGTTGTTTTCTTATTTTCACGGCGATTCCTCATCATGCATTTATGGAATGAGAGTGACCTGTAATGTGATATTTACTTGATATGCCCAAATGGGACGAATTCAAGCTCAGATTTGGTTGCTACACGAATTCCGCCGAAATGAAGGAACGTGAATTCAAATTGAGATAAATGAGAGATTTTGCGGATTCCCTCGGAAAATGAACCGAAAAAATACCAAGTCAGCACTGTCAGGTCGTCCATCAATATCGGACTATTGGTTTGATAAATTCGTGATTTTGGAGGGAAACATGAGGGCTAAGGATGGGATTTTTCTATTTAAATTCTAGCTGAAGCATTAATACTCTGCATAATTGGGTGAAATCAAGTCTTTATGGCTTTATGATTGGGGAAAAAGTGCGAGTGAGTCTTGATTCTTCAAGTCGTTTACACAGTCCACCTGTCCCTGACATCCATTTAAAGGCCTACAGTCCAGGCATAGATGCAGGCCGATATTT